ACATCCTTTTTTCTGAAAAGGTGACTAAGTCATAGAAAGTTTAAGAAGCCTGTACAAGGTTACAGAGCTAATAATCAATAGAGCAGGGATTTGAACTCAGTCTTGCTCCAGAATATGAACTTGTAACCATTACATTATTCTGCCCATATCCAATATCCCTCCCCCCTCAAAGCAGTGGCCCCAAATATTCCCTTTGGTTACCTATTTCCATTCTGCATAATGAAAATCAGCTTAAAATTTCTATATGCGTAATCACCAAATTTCAAACTTGTAGCTTATATAAAGTTAGGAAAATACGTTATTCATAAAGGTATTCAAGTGGATCTTTTCAATCTTATTGCCTTTTATGTGGTTAGAGTTATTACTGCAGCAGTATGATCCCAGTCATAAAAGCATAATATAATGAATTTTTAAAAGCAAGGCAAATCCAGAAAAGGTAGGCATATTAGGTTGTACCTCTTGAAAAGGTATTTAAATTATAAATATATTTGGTATTCAGGAGCCCTGGAGGTAACCAGGTTGCCTAACAAGATTGAAAGAAATGAATTTCTCATTAGGCATTGTCAAACAGAAATGCAATGAATATTCAGCTAGTTCACTGTTCTGTAAAAAGTTCAATTAAAACTTAAATCTCCTTCTAGTGATAATTGCTATAACTAAAGAATGAAGACAAGTAACAGCAAGCTTAAGGCAACCAAATTAGATTTTTAAACATGTCATACTAGGTATAATAAAATGAGGTACTCAAGTGCACTCAAGTGCTACTGTATTTTTTAAAGCTTTCTTTCCAGACTAACTACAAAAACATTAGAAAATGTTTTTTCTTTAGCTAAGTTTTTTTTTATTATGCAAAGTACATGTATGTAGAAAGGCATTGTTTTCTTTTATTCATAAGCTAAATTTCGATCTTTGTGAGTCACCCCTAAGTCTGAACAGAATCCTAGTGAGACATCTTTCTGAAGTGGCTGACAGGATTAAGAACCAGGATGGGATGCTTTCTAGTGATTTGTCATTGCAGGGGGGGAAAGTAAAACAATAATATAAACTATCTGTAGGTTTAATTCTGTTCTAAGAATAATAAATGCAAAAATGCACTTCATGAGCAACTCTAAGGGTTTTCTTTGACATTAAAGCAAAGAGAAACAACTTAGTAAATAAGGGCTTTGTTTACTCTTTTGTATGTGACAAATAACCACTGTCTCTTCCAGTTAATACATCTATTATCTCTTTATAAAAAGCACAAAGCTAAATGGGTGACATCATTAGAAACAGCAATAGAATATAATAGCATAATAGCTATTCTTCATTTTCTGTATTTGCTGATTTGGTATCTTGGAGTCATGGGGCCATGCTAATTACCCAAGGTTTTATACACCTCCACCAATGGGCATGAGGAAATCTTATTCCAAACCCATAAACCACAAGCCTTAACTGTGTTTTGCTCCCTGACAATAGAGGATCTCCCTGCCTGAATACATGCTGTCACTATAATAATACAGGTTTAGTCCTAGTTCTCTTTTTCTCTATGCTTCTCTATATGAGTGGCCCCATGTGATCCTCTATGGCATGTGGTACCTCCCATCCCTCAGGGAATTGTGTATAATACTTTTCTTTCAAAGGCAATTGTATCGTATCTGATCAAAAGGAAACCCCAGGTTCATTTCGTATTAAAAAATAAAAAGAATAGTCTCAAAATAGAATCCTTTTTGCCAGGCCCCTCAGCCTTCATAATCTCACTGCAGTTTCAATCTATCCCAAAGGATAAACCTAAACCAATCAATTTGGTGTTTCCAGATCAGCCTGATAAGAAAGCCCTGCCTAGCCCCTGAGGAAAGATGGTTTTACCTGAAATAACCTTTCTTTTGCTAATAACCTCATCCTACTCTCCTCTCTGTAAGTACTCTCCATTTTGTGTAAATCCTTCAAGTATCAAGGTGAGATGCTGCCCAATTCATGAATCATTGAATGAAGTCAATCCAATCTCTAAATTTGTGATTTTTGTTTTTTTACATTAAAATAATGTAAACATACTATTGAATTAAGGAATCCTAATGTGGCCTTATTTCCACACATCAAGCTATGTGGGATAATAAAAAAAACCTTAAAGAATAAAAACTTTTAGTATGGTTTTCTATTCTGCAGTTGCAAGCATTCCTTCTGTCACCAGTTCCACTCCTAAGTAGCAGGCTTCTCAATATAATAGGCTATGATAGAGGCAAAAAAAATACTGCCAAAATTTCCTCCTCTGTTTAAGCTTCCCTCCTATTAAAAAAAGTGGAGTCTACACCCCCTTCCCATGAATCTAGTCCCTCTGCCAACAGAATATATCAATAGCAAAAGAAATATAAAGCCAATTCCAGACCTAAGGCTTTAGAGAACAGGCATCTTCTCATTCACCTTTACTCTGTTAGAAACCAGGCACTATGTAAGAAAGTTTAGGCTAAATTCCTGAAGGATAAGAAATACAAGTGTTACAGGGCAGCGAGAGGGGCACCCCAGACCCCGCAAACCTGCCTGCTCTAAATAGGTTTTGCCATCCGCCGCATCAACACAAAACATATGAGACTTTAATGAAAAGGAACTTTAATACAATTAGTAAACAACACAGGAAAGAATAGTTTCTAAATCAAGCACCCAAAATTACCCATCCCCTTCTGGGTAAAAGGCCACCCAAGCGATATCGGCCCAGAGCAAGGCCCAAAAGCCTGCCACAAGCCTAAAGCACCTTTCAGTGGGGACCCACAGAAAAGGATCAGAAACAACCAGACAAGTCTGGGAGGAAAAGAGCAAAATCAAAATCAAGGTAAAAGCTGCCACTGTTATCCTCCCCACAGGTCTCTCACCCACATCTGTGTCACCCAGTCCACGACCAAAAGGCAAGCTCAGTTTCTTCACATGTGTCTCTGCTCCATTTGCCTCCTCCAGGTCTCCTTCTGGCTCTCATTCCTGCTTCCTTTCTTCTCAGTCTCCTCTGCAGCTTCTTACCTTCTCTGACACTACTCCACCCTCCTTTGGGTGGGGCAAGGAACCTGGAACCTCCCCCTTTGCTGGGGACCACCCTGTTACACAAGGAGAGAGGTCTTACGGAGAAGTTGCACATAACTCCCATTAAAAGGTACCACAAAGATCACAGCAAAGTGAGTGAAGCCACTTTGCATCTTCCAGTTCAGTTATGCCACATTCATAAAACACGGACCAGCCACCTCTGCTAAATTCCTGCTGCCTAAATTCCTGGTTACAGAACCATAAGCAATAAAACACCTGCTGTTTTTAGTCACTAAGACTTAGAATGGTTTTGTATACAACAGATAATGGAAACACAAAGTAATAATATTTGTTCTCTAGCTTTAAAAATGTTCTAGTCACTTCACATTGATTAAGAATTATGAACCACTCAATTCTTTTTTTTTTTAAAGATTTATTTATGCATACAAGAAGCATGGAGGGGGGCGGTGAGAGGATTCACCAGAGACAGAGTGGGGGACAGAACAGGCAGATCAACTGAAATACACTGCTGAGGGGAGCAGCAGGCAAGTCAGGAGAGATCTGCTGCACCATGTGGGCAGCTCCCTGGCCAGGGATCGAACTCGTGTTGCAGTGGCTGCAGATAGCCTCCTAAGTTGCGTCTCAAGCCCTTGAGCCACCAGGGAGGCCCTGAACCACTCAGTCCTAATGACTATTTTTTCAAAATATATTTTAATGTAGTAGCTCACAAAAGAATGTGTCTGTATATTTATTTCTTTGAATCAACATCTAAGACTAAATAAAAATAAAAGGGAAAATATTTGTACTAAATGAGTTGATAGCCTTAGCAAATAGAACTCCCACAAATATTAAAGAAAAATAATGACACCTCAATTTTTAAAAAATGAGAAAAGCCATTTCTCTTTAGAGCCATTCATGTTCAATAGATTTGAGGGGAAATATCTTAATCTTGAGCTCACTAATTTAAAAGAAATGAAAATTAAAACAATAAATGACATCATTTTCACCTACTAAATAGCCAAAGAATACTTTAAATACTACGACCAATACCCACTAGCTTTAGAAAACATGGGAAAACCCTATATTAGAAGCTCAGTCTGGGACACCCAAGTCTCCTTGAACTGTGGAGACTTTGGCGTCTCCCTCGACTTTGCACAGGCTATATGGCTGTAAAAGGGGCATAACATAGCTACCACACAGCGCAGTTTCAGGTTCAATGCTATGCAGAGGGAAGAGCAGTATGATTGTTATTCAATCTGTTATTCAGTGGTTATTCCATCTGTTCATCCACGGATTTACTTTTTTTTAAAGATTTATTTATGCATACAAGAACTGGGGCTCAGGCCAGAGGTGGGTGGCGTGAGAGGATTCCCCAGAGACGGCGTGGAGCAGAATAGGAGGATCTACTGAAATACACTGCTGAGGGGAGCAGCCGGGGAGTCAGGAGAGGTCTGCTGTACCACGTAGGTCCTTGGCGGGGCTCGAACTCGCGCTGCAGTGGCTGCAAATAGCTTCATAGTGCTGCGTGTTAACCCCTGGCGCCACCAGGGAGACCCCCCCACGGGTTTATATTTTGCAGGTGAAACGGGGAAAGTCCTGGAATCACAAGAAAATCTTAATACTTTTCGGGAAAACTGGAGATGGAATGCACCGGGAGTGGGGGGACACCACGTCTAGCAGACCGCGGTGGGGAAAAGCCAGCGCAGAGGCCGAGCGGCGCCCCCGCGGGAGGGGCCACCCGCGGCCCCCACCACCCCGCCCCCCCACGCACCCCGCCCCCCCCACGCACCCCGCCCCCCACGCACCCCGCCCCCCCACGCACCCCGCCCCCCCCCACGCACCCTCGCCTCGCGCCCACGCGCGGGCTCTGACGCTCTGCGGGGCCCGCAGCCCCGCAGCAAAGGCGGTGGGAAGCGTCGGATCCACGGCGCTGATTGGCTGCCCGCGGGTATGGGGCGGGGCTGCCGGGGTCTCGGGAGGGCGCGCGAGCGGAACGTCATCGCCGCGCACTTCCGGTCTTTGTGGCTCGGCGCTCCGGGTCTGCGGCTCAGGTTCTGGCCGCTCCTGGGCTTTGCGGTGAGGGACGCGGGCCCTGAGGCGGGGGAGGGCGGGAGGCCGCGCGGCGCGGGCGGCGGGCGCGGGTGCAGGAGCTGGGCTTCTCGGCCTGCCGGTCCCCGAGTCGCGTCCTGTCCGGCGGCGTCTCCGACCGTCCTGGGGACGCAGAGGAGGCCAGCGCTGCAGCCCCTGCTTTCCAGCGCTAAGGACAGTTATTCCTCCTGACCCGCGACTTCGCAAATGCTGTGCTTTAACGGGATGGAGAAATAGGCGAGTGCGACCCAGGCTGGTTATTAAGCCACAGACGAGTAACTTAAATATTCTGATCACTGCAAGTAATTGTGTTAGGGTTAAAGTCCACTTATCGGTCCTGTTCATGCAAGCGCACACCTGCCTGTCGGTATTTACCCATCCTAAAACCAGATCATGTTTTATCTCTATTGCAAAAAATAATACATAATTATTTGTTAACATTTCACTTGAAAAGTTTTTACTCCAGTGTACTCTAAGCTGTTTTGAGAGCTGAGGTTGATCTTTTTTGTTGTTTGTATCTCTACATCCAACATGTTTTTGAACACATGGTGAGTATTTAACAAATACTTCTTGGTTAGTTCCTCAGACTGACTTATTCATGAGCAAATCCCTTTTTACCTATAGTAAGTGCCCAATGTTGTTGAATTCGGTGAATATCAAATTTGATGCAATTGCAAATACCTAATAATTTTGTATTTAAATCAACTTGTGCTTAATAAGAATTTTTTTAAGAAGTTTTACTACTGAGATGAAAATCAACATTATTTGCTATAAATAGTAATTTAAAATACATTTTTTAAAAACAACATTATTAAGCCCTAGCTGATATTGTTACCGTTGGAAGTCTGAGGACTATGCTTTTATTAAAAAGGGAGCTCTAAATTTTACATGTCTGTTGAAGACAGATTTTTCTCCTTGGTGCAATTAGAATTGAAAGTAACTTGAAAGGGAAATTTCTCAGTATATTAGTACTGCATTAAAAGCTTCTAAAATAATTTATTTAACCCCTGGTGGCAGGGATTCTGCAAGTTAGGAGACATTGATGAGGTGAGTGATTTTTGTCACTAGTTTAGTTACAGTCCCAAACCTTTTTCAGTATGTTACTGTAATGACTGATCTTTATTATTTAAGTTCTTAGTAATTTTTTCCACTGCTGTAAGTTAACAGTGCTTTTATATCCTTCAGGAAATAAAAAGTTTACTCAAAGAAAAACCTGAAGCACACCACCCAGTTGTAGTCAGTTTTTTTGCTAAGCTGTTTCAGTGCAGAATGGCTGTGGAATCCAGAGCAATTTCAACTCTCCTACCTCAGAATCCTCAGGAACAAGAACTAATACTAGTGAAAGTAGAAGAAAGTCTTTCCTGGGCCTCGAAATTTAAACAGAATAGGGGTACCCGATCCTGTCAAGAATTGTTTCGCCAACAATTCAGAAAGTTTTGCTACCAGGAGACACCCGGACCCCGGGAGGCGCTGGGCCGACTCCAGGAGCTTTGCTATCAGTGGCTTATGCCAGAGTTGCACACAAAGGAGCAGATCCTGGAATTGCTGGTGCTGGAGCAGTTCCTGAGCATTTTGCCTGAAGAGCTGCAGATCTGGGTTCAGCAACATAGTCCACGAAGCGGCGAGGAAGCTGTCATGCTGTTGGAGGATCTGGAGAGGGAATTTGATGATCCAGGGCAGCAGGTGGGAACAGGGAGAAGTAATATGTTGTGGGAAAAGGAATTTACAGACTGGAGCATGTGTCAGTCATCGTAACAATAGGATGAAAATTTGTCTTTACTGAATCATAACCCGGAAGTGACTGTTAGGACCATACCAGTCTCTATCCTTAAGTTGTTCTTTACCCCTCATCCCAGGAAATGTCTTCATTGACCTCTTTGAAATTTTTACTGAGTAGTTTCCCTAGGGATTTCCTCAGAAAGCTAACCATATTTTACTGATTTCAGGTCCCAGTTAGTCCACAGGGACCAGCAGTGCCTTGGAAGGATTTGACATGTCTTGGAGCACCCCAAGAGTTAAAGACACAGCTGAATCCCTGGGAACCTTGCCTTTCCCCCAAAAGTGGTAAGAAATAGAAACTCATCTGGAAATTATTAGCAATTAGATCTCTAGTTTTAATTGCATTTTACAGACATGTCAGATGTGAGCCTCACCTTTATTGTTCTAGACCTGCATGCTCACGACAGTGACTTTGTATTCAGCAATCTTCATGCATTGTAGTCATTCCCTCTTTGTGTCAGTTATTCGCTTGTTTTTTCATTATGTAATTCCTTAGGGTGCTAAAACATATCTAGTACTGTGGTGTGTACTAGGTCTCTGTCTTTAAAGAATGTTATGGTCTAAATGTTATAGTCTAGACAAGCAAAAATGCCATTGCAATATATAATAAAAGTAGCCACTGGGTATTTTGGAGCACATGTTTGGCACCTGACTACTCAATGTTAGAGGTTCCAGGAACACTTTGGAGAAAGACACCTCAGCTAAGACTTGAACTGTGCATAGGAGAAAGTCAAGTAAATAGATGGGAAGAGGAAGGGAAAACTGTTTCTCTACTTAACACTGCTAACATCACAAGTGTAGGATTTCCCTGGCATTAAGCAATTCTGACTCTACCCAGAATTAGCACACGTCCCATAGTTCAGGGTTCAGTCCCACAAGCTGCCCCTCAACCTTAAAATGCCAATCTCAAGTAGCTATTCCTTGGGCTAACCTTCTGTCCATCTTGGCTATTCAGGGAGTTTGTGACCACCTCCCTCGGGTTTCACAATTTACAATAATGGGTCACAGAACTTGGAAACACCTGATTTACTTTCACCAGCATATTATAAAAAATATGCTGACTGTTGAAGAGAGTGAGAGAAGTGTCCTGCTCTTAGGAGCTTCTGTCCCTGTGGCTTTTTAGTGTGCCACTTTCCAGACTCTAGAATGCATTCATCATTCTTGAAACTCTCTGAGCCATTTTGTACAATCTTTTTATGGAGATTTCACTACTTAGGCATGACTGTTTAAATTTTGGCCAATAGTGATTGACTCTATCTCCAGCCCCTCTCCCTGGAGGTCAGGGTAGGACTGGAAGATCCAACTCTCCAGTTATATAATGGGGGCAAATAAACCCCATTCTCCAGTAATCAATCACTTAGGTGTGGTTAAAAGGGGCTCATTATGAGTAACATAAGATACATCTCACCTCTACCACCCAAGAAATTCCAAGTGTCTTAAAAGCTCTGCCAGAAACTGGGGATGAAGACCAAATACATATTTTCTGTATATTACACAGCAGCAACCACAAATTGCTAAAGGTGAGAGAATACAATGTCCGGGAACTGCAGGGACAGTGCGGGGCCCCATTTAGTGATTTTTTTCAGTGGAAACTCTATTTCAGATTTTGAATTTTCATCTTTTCTTGGGCTATCGATGTGTAGTACAATACTCTGGTGTTACTGGGTAGTGGCAGTAACCTGAAGCCCCAGTTAGTCCAGGATGAGGTCATACTCTACAGTGTTGCCAATGTTTTTTGGATATCGTGTTTTGTTTTCATGTTCTATCATGTCTGTTTTTCACTTTTAGTTAGTATTCAATGAATTACCTGAGATATTAAATGCCTTTTTTTTTTTAATAAAGTAGGCTTTGTGTTAGATGATTTTGGCCAGCAGTAAGTTAATATAATTTTTCTGGGCACATTAAAGGTAGGCTAGCTGCACTGCGATGTTCAGTACCTTAGTATTAAATGCATTTTCCATTTACGATATTTTCAACTTGCTCTGGGTTTAGTGGATCGTAATCCCATCCATTTGTGGAGGAAAATCTTGTTCAATATAACTTGAATAGAGAAGTTATAGGGGAGTACTGGTGAGAGATGAAAAGAGGAAAATGGGACCTAGGATATAAACCTTACCTGTTATCCTCACTAGATTGTACAGAGTTGGAGTCCAGTTGAAGGATTTTGGACACAGGTGTGATTGGATTTATGTTTTAGAATTTAACTGCAGAGTGGAGAATGAATTTGAGGAAGTCAAAAAATGTGTAGTCCAGGTAACCACAGTGAATAAATCAAGACATATTATGTATTATGATAAGAGGTGGGGTAGAGCAAAACCAACTTGTTTTTTGGGGGTTTGTTTTTTGGGTTTTTTTTTTTTTTTTGCATATTTCAGTTGCATTGCAGTAGCTGGTAACTGCTAAAAGAGGAGCCTGATTATATCAACTTAATCTTTTTAAGTTATTAATGTCTTCTGTTAATAAAAACTTCTCTCCCCCGCCCCCCCAAAAAAAAGTGGAGGTGGAGGGAGAGGATTTGAGGATGATACTCAGGTTTCCATCTTGAATAACCTGGTTAATGGTTGTGCTATTCATATAATGGGAAAACATAAGGGGAAAATACATCTGATGATGTGTTCAATTGTTTGGTTTAGGAATTTTTGGTGCTTGTGAAATATTCACAGTATGCCCAATTAGCATTTTGGGTAGGAGAGTCTAAAGCTCAAAGAGAGAACTAAGATAGAATTGGGGATCTGGGGAGACATTACATTGCTAATGTAAGTACTGATTGAAGTCTAGGTGGTAGAGTTTGTAGAGTAAGAATACATTAGAACCCAGACCAGAATGTAGAATTCATGTTTGTGTGATTGACCTTTGTAGGGTAAGGTAAAAAGTATCAGGCTTTTCTGCCCTCCCACCATTAGGATGGATGACAGAACTCTGTGGTCCTGAATGCATGCCTGATGGTGGGCATGTGGAATAGGGTGTGGGCATATGTAGATAGGATTCATCTGGGCTAAGACTGGACTTTCAAGGGCAGCGTCACGGGGACACCAGCAGAAGAAGCAGAGAAGCCGAGAGAAGCAGAAGCCAAGAGCAGAGAAGCAGAGAGAACGCTGGAGAGGCCAGAAAGAGTGAAGACTTGCTGGGGGCTGGGAGGCTGGCAGGCCAGCACCCCTGTCTGCCATATGCCTGATAAATCCCAATAAAAGCCTGAAAACCCACCGAGGTCTCCAGGACTCTCTCCTCCCTTACCCGGTCTGCTGGATCATAGAAAACCTGTACTGTGTCTGTCCTGCCACTACAACCTTAAATCTAAGAAGGAACAGTCACAGAAATCAGACACTGAAAGAGACTGTCTCTAGAAGGAAGGCGTGGTCCCCAGTATCAGTGTCGCAGAGAGGCCAGCTAAGTAAGATCTAGAAAGTATCCATTGGATTAAGCAGCTGTGGAGTTGGTGACATTGATGAGACTAGTATGGGAGTTGGAGGCATAAGGTAGAAACCTTGTGCAGAGTGGGAATGAGTATAAAAACCCTTTCAAGAAGCTTTACTCTGAATGTGAGTGAGTGAGGTTACAGAGTTGGTTTTAAAAGATTGAAAAACCTGACAACTGTCACTGAGGAAGAGGTAGTATAATAGGCAAGGAATAATAGGTAATTGATCAATTGAAATCTCAGAGGAGACTTGAAAGGATGAAATTCAAACTATGTAGAGACATTAGTATTAGAAAGGAAGGTGGACTCTGTTATGGCTAATTAAAAGATACATGAGGACAGTGGCATCTTGTGTTAAGTAGAAACTCCTGTTTTGTCTAGCAAAGAAAGTGAGTATTGAGAGTAACTGGAGAAATATGAACCCTGGCTTTTGCTATTTTCATTTCAGATTGTGAGAACAATGAATCGGCAACAAAGAACCCTTTGAGAAAACAATCACAAGGACTTCCCCAGGAACCTTCATTGGGAGGAGTTAGTGAACACAAAAGCAATTTAGAATGGCAGCAAGGAAGTGCTACCAGGGAGAATTTAAAATCCCCTTCCCAAGAGGGCAGTTTTAGTCAAGTAATGTTCACACACAAATCTTTGGATAAAAGAGACCATCGTGATGAACCTCAAAGAAGCTTGATTCTAAGTACAAACTCTATAACATATCAGAAAGTTCCTACAGAAGAGCGACCTTATAGATGTGATGTATGTGGGCACAGCTTCAAACAGCATTCCTCACTAACACAACATCAGAGAATCCACACTGGAGAGAAGCCCTATAAATGTAACCAGTGTGGGAAGGCCTTTAGTTTAAGATCGTATCTTATTATTCATCAGAGGATTCATAGTGGTGAAAAAGCATATGAATGTAGTGAATGTGGGAAAGCCTTTAACCAGAGCTCAGCCCTCATTAGACATCGGAAAATTCATACTGGTGAGAAAGCTTGTAAGTGTAATGAATGTGGCAAAGCATTCAGTCAAAGTTCATATCTCATTATACATCAAAGAATTCACACTGGTGAAAAGCCCTATGAATGTAATGAGTGTGGGAAAACCTTTAGCCAAAGCTCAAAGCTTATTAGACATCAACGAATTCATACAGGAGAAAGACCTTATGAATGTAACGAATGTGGGAAAGCTTTCAGGCAGAGCTCGGAGCTGATAACCCATCAGAGAATACATAGTGGAGAAAAACCCTATGAATGTAATGAGTGTGGAAAAGCCTTCAGCTTGAGTTCAAACCTCATCAGACATCAGAGAATTCATAGTGGAGAAGAACCTTATCAGTGTAATGAATGTGGCAAGACTTTCAAAAGAAGCTCAGCCCTTGTTCAGCATCAGAGAATCCATTCTGGGGATGAAGCTTACATATGTAATGAATGTGGGAAGGCTTTCAGGCACAGGTCAGTCCTTATGCGCCATCAGAGAGTCCACACTGTAAAGTAACTTGGGAGTACTGTAAATACTTCAGTCAGATTTATATGTTTAGTCAAAGGGTTTACTTGGAGCACGACTCCATAAAGGTTGTAAACTTCTAGGTCTTGAGTCAGTCAAACTTTCTGTAGCACTTACCAATGGTAATGCAAATTGTCCCTTGAAAGCTTTTCTATGACATCGGAACAGCAGATGGAAGAATCACTACTTCCAGCTTTTCTCTTACATTAGGAATACTCAGGAAATAGGAGAAATGGGAATGTAACAATGAAACCTCATGTTCCTCGAGAATGTCAGAAAGAGGGTATAGCAGCCCAGGCTCTGTCACTACACCTGCTTATCATAGTGCAGGTTGGAGGATGGTGTGGACAGTATTAGGGAGATTTTGTTTCAGGAAGACAAAAATTTTACTAAGAACAGTAACAGGGCCTCAAGACAGATGGTGAGAGTTTCAGCATTGATTTGTTGAGCTGTAGGCAGGTCAGAAATGAGATACTGAGAAGAATACCAGCTGATTTATGCAACAGTTTTTGAGTGCTGCTTTCTATGAGGCACGAGGTATAAAAAGGAAAATAAGACATTGTCTCTACAGTTTAATGGGCAAGACAAAAACGCAATGACACTGTGATATGGTCAGTTCTCTGTGACATTAAGGTTTGCCTGATCCAGCCTTGGATCAGGAAAGGCTTCTGAGGAAAATGACCTGAAGCATGAGTAGGTATTAGAGAACAGTGTCCCCAGCAGAAAGAACAACAGTCAAGGCTGTGAAAATGTCTGGAACATCTGGAAATTAAAAGGCCATTTTGTGTAGAGCATTTCTGTTGCGTTTTTTGAAGTGGAATCATATCTATAAAGAAGCATGGATGTAATCAGACTCTTAAGCAGTGCCTGTAGCGAAATATGAGCCAGTAGAGAAGTTTCTATTAATAGACAAAACCTGGAGTCCTTGGGCTGTGGAGTGGTAAGGAGCTTTGGTCTGCCCTGACCCCAGGAAAGGTTAATGTAGTGTCCTTGCCCAACTTACAGGCTAGGCTAGCATTCCGGTAGGTGGGTAGGGATGGTGTTGAGAAAGAATCCTTCACAAGAGGTTAAGAGTCAACCAAGTTCTAAGTCTCCCTCTTGCAGAATTAAGGACTTCTTTGGCTTTTAAGACAATATTAAAACTGCTATCAGATTCCAATAATTCCCAAGACTCAGGAGCTGCTCTGTCTGCCATATCATTTGTTTTGGGGCCAGTATCCCCTGATTTCTAGAACATCCCCGGGGCTCAGGTACTGAAACAGTTGCTGGATCTGACTTACTCTCCAGGAACCTTTCCATGTTCCAGTTTTGTCTTATATCATCAATATTTCACTATCTCCTATGAATTTTTTTTTAAAACATTAAAGGGGAATGACAGCAGAAAGTAAAGTAACAATCATGGTCAATCCAGGGACTACCCTCTTCTGAGGGATCCAGCAGAAAAAGTGCCCTTAGCCTGGTGTTTGCCAGTGCAAGGCAGATTGGAGTATAAGTTAGCAACAGAAAAATATGCTATCCAAAGGTTGGTGATACCATACACCTAACCAAAAATAAAAGTCTATGGGAGTCTGGAATCCTAGGCACAGGAAGAGTTTTCATTAGGATAAAAAGAAGTAATGTTACTAGTGGGCCATAAATAGATGTTCATTTACTAACCAGTAGGAATGACAGCTCAATGCCCATTCTTGCAGAGAATGTGAATAGAAGGATATGGTCATTTGGGAAAGATGATAAAATGAAACAAAATAACATGGTAGGAGCTATTGCAATTCATTTCCTCTTCCATGGGGAAAGATCCAAACAAGTAGAAATTGATACATGTTACAAAAGGGAGATAGTCTTTATAGAGTTCTTACATAATGGTAAGAGTATCATAGGTACTTGCTATGGGCTTTTTATTTATGTATTCTCAAGCCCATATATTGCAGGGGAGGAAGTGAAGGATTAGGATCATGGGGTTTTCAAGGTCTTAAGGTTAAAAAGTGGTGAGGTCAGACTTTGAAGCCAGGAAATAGGAACCCAGAATCCTGTGGCGCCACTACTCCCTACTAATCTCCCAATAGAAAAAAAAATGGTATTTAAATAGGCAAATCACAAAAGAATAAATGCCCCTCTTCAGTGTTCAGCCTTGCTGAATTAAGAATGTATAGGGAAGCAAGAGTTGAAATAGCACTTCCCCTACTCTCCCACCAAAACACTAACAAGGATTCAGGGAAATTGGGACTCGATGCTGCTGGTAACAAGTGAATAGATAATATCTCTGGCCACCAATACTGGAAGCCTTAACCATTGCCTTTTGACTTCACAATTCTACCAGGAAATACATGATTCAGAAACCATCATGAATGTACAAAATCTTAAAATCTGTTAAAAGTGATGTGGATTAATATTAGAAGAAATGGCAAAGCATATCTTGTTAAGTAAAAATATATGTATAATGTTATTTCATGTAAAAATTATTTATGCATTAAAAATACTGGAAATATGTAATTCCAAAGGCTATACTGGTTATCTCTGGGTGATGAGATGATGGCTGATTTTTTCTTGTGCTTTTTTCTGTCTTCCAAATTTTTCTACTATATATATCTAAAATTAAAGAAGCCAAGGGCCTCTCCGGTGGCACAGTGGTTGAGCACTGGGTTGTGAAGCTGCCCGCAGCCTCTGCGGCGCCAGTTCGATCCCCAGCTGCTCCCCGGCCACTGGAGGAGGGTCCCACATGGTGCGCGCAGACCTCTCCTGCCGCCCGCTGCTCCCCTCAGCAGTGTACTTCGGTCCTTCTACCTGCTCTGCTCCCCGCTCTGGCTCTGGTGAATTCTCTCACCCTCCCGCGTTTCTGACTGTACCCAGTGCTTGTATAAATAAATAAATACATATTTTTAAAAAAATAAAAAATTAAAGAAGCCAAGACTAGTCAAGAAATACACACTTCGATATCTTACGAACATCACACTTTCTGTACAATCTCTGTCCCTCCCCAAGTCCTAGGAGGTAAGTGAACTTGTTAGCTGTGATCTGTGATTTTCTCATTGATAAATAACAATAGCAGATGCACCCATTTTATATACCAAAAAAAAGGATGAATTATATGTAGTGTAATTAATTGCATGAAGATTAGTGGTTGAGAGAAACAATAGTCTTGAAGTGGAAATATTTGTTTTTGTTAGTGCCTTTCTATAGATTCTGCAGCTATAAGTCACCTCACAACTCTGGACCCTAAGTTTAAAGCTCAGGTAAATAAATCTCTTTCAGTTAATACTTCAACATTCTAAGTGTTTATGAAATGGAAGGGGGGCACTGATAATAGATATTGAATGTAATTGTTTTTCTCCATCACCGGCTTTGAAAAGTAAAGTACCTCCTGCCTTTCCTTTCTGCTCATGACCCTCCAATTTCTCTTAGCATAGTGTGGGAGGAGGAGGAAAAGTGTCTGCCTTAAGTGGATCTTGCACAGATTCCCAGATATAAAAATAATGTGTAGATTGGGTAAGGTGCTTAATAAATATCAGTTGCCTACCTCTCCCCTCCATCATTTCCATAGATTGGAATTAACACTGTTGCAGAGATTAAAAATTTTAAGTAAATCTAATGTTCATCTTTCCAAGCTTTTCTGAAAGCCTTTGCTTCTCTTGCCACAAAATGAGTCCTTACAGCAAAAGGAATTGCCAATTAGAATAATTTCCAATGCAGGAGGAACTGACCTAGAGAGCAGTTCTGCAAAGTCAAAAAAGAGTGAGCCTTTGGGCAGATCCCACTTAAAACCAGCCACCACCCTGCTTTCTGGTGGATCAGGACCAAACATTTCTACTCCGTAATGTGGCTTCTTGTCTGGCACAAGGATCACAGAACTAAAAGGGTAGTGGGGTTGTTTGTGCATGTGTTTCTCTGGAGGACCTGAGAGGAAGGGAAGGCCATGGCAGTCTCCCAGGCTCTTGTTTTCAAAGGGGATGAAGTGTCCAAATTCTGGTAGATACTACAGATACATATATTGCTTAAAGAGGCAAAATTTTTTTTAAGTACCATACTCTCATATCCTTACAAGTTTTTTCAAGAGGCTCATTTTTTGCACTCATTTCCATAGTCTCAAGCACAATGCAGCCCCAGAGTTCCTCTTGATTGTGTTTTTTTGTTTGTTTTGCATAGAAGAATTTGAGTGTAAGCCTGAGAAGTGGGGGGTGGTAGGGGTGGGGGGAGGTGAGAGGATTCACCAGCGACAGTGGGGAGCAGAACAGGCAGATTTACTGAAAGGAGAGCAGCGTGCAAGATAGGAGAGGTCTTCTGCACCATGTGGGTTAGCTCCCTGGCCAGGGATTGAACTCAGGCTATGATAGCACTGAGACTTAATCGCAGGGAGGTCCTCCCCTTGATTTTGTGACTTCATCTGGTGAACTGCAGTCCAGGAGCCAGCTGTCAGTTTCCAGATACTTTTTTGGCCCAGAGGAAAAAAGCAAAGAGCACCACTTGACTTCCCACCGCAATCCTTCCCCCATCTTCCCATCATATCTCTCTGCTATTGTGCTCCCTATTCCTGGTGAATAATTTCAAAACAAATCATAAAACTCAAAATTTTATTATATCTTGCATTACATTCCAAGCAGTTATAGATTCAAAGTATAACTTTAAAAATAAGCTACTAAAAATGATTTACCAAACAAGATATTAACCAAATACTAGGATTGTGGGGAAAAAAATGATCAAAAGTACTCCAAAATGTTAGCAATGTTTCTATAGATGGTGGAATTATCAGTGAGTGACTTTCTCATTTTCTGTATTTTTTTTTTTTTAGTTTATTTATATATGCATACAAGAACCCGGGTACAGGCCAGAGGTGCAGAGGGTGAGAGGATTCACCAGAGACAGAACGGGGAATAGAACAGACAGACTGACTGAAATACACTGCTGAGGAGAGCAGCAGGCGAGACAGGAGAGGTCTGCTATGCTATGTGGGTAGCTCCCTGGTAGGCCAGGATCGAACTTGCGCTGCAATGGCTGCAGATAGCTTGATAGTGCTGTGCTTAACCCCTTGCGCCACCAGGGAGGCCCTCATTTTCTGTATTATCAACATTTACAACTAATTCACAACCAGTAGAAAACTATTAATTGGTATTTAAAATATGATGTCTTCTTCAGAATTGACACTATCTCAAAGGGAAATCAGGACATCTTAGAAGAAAAGCAAATTTTCTCTTAGGTATTTAATTAAATACCAGTTAAGATTGCCAAAATAAAAAACAGCAGAGAAGTAGATTTCTAAGGAATCCAAGAAGGGGTTAAAATATGCGTTGTCCTCAAGTAGTGTAATACTTGCAAGCCTCATCATGAGGGGACGGACTTGGGGAGGCAAACTCCCTGTGTTCCTGTATGCTGCCTATTTCCTGGAACCCCGAGTCATGACACATACCATAGTCCCCACTGTGCTCCAGCCCTCAATATGTATTCTTTCTTTGACGTACATATAGGCCTTTTCCCAGAGTACACACCAAAATCTTCCATCATACTAATTCTCTGGAGTACTTGAGGTCTGTCAGGTACTCTGGGTATGGAACAAGCTGACCAACTCAGTGATCATAGTAAGAAAGAAAGGAACCAACAGTTGTCCTAGGTGTAGAATCAGGGTCTACAAAAAAACAATTCCTGCCAGAATTAAGAATCCTGATGAAGGGGTGTTTCCCGACCTTCCCTTTATGCCACAGTATGTGCTACAACCTCTACTTGTAATGTTCTCTTCCCTCTTGCCCTTGACCTGGTTAACTTCTACCACCTGTTACATCTCAATTGAGATTTCATCACATCCAGGAAGTCGTTAGTGATTCATAGACCAGGTTAGGTACCCCTGCCATGTATTTCGAGAGAATCCTGGATTTATCCTGCCAAAGCACTTAACATTTTACTACATAATAAAAATGTAATTACCTACATAATAAAAAATGTACATACAATTAGGCCTTAATTTTGGGAGAACAATGATCATGTCTGCCTTCAATGGCTGGCACATTGCAGGTGTTTTTTTAAAATGTTCTGAACTGACCTCAGTAGGAAGCTCCGGACAAAGGAGAAAACTGGCAAAGAGGCAGAAAGAGCTACCATCGCCCACATACTACTAACCTGATCCAGGGCACAATTTCATATTTTACAACCTCACAATTCAACATTTCAGATCAATGAATAGCTCAGTATATGCCTCCAATTGTCAAATGCACAAATGTTCTTGCAGGGCAGGGATCCTTGCCAAGGGAGACATCACCTTAGTTCATTGTAAGAGTAGCATTTTCAGGATCTCTGCCCCAACTCTGACCTACTGCAAAGGTGTCCACTTACCATTTCAACAAACATGTGGATCTACACTTAACAGTACTGAACAGGGGTGGAAGAAACAGCTCTGCTATCAGGAACCTTCTATCTCCTAGGGAGTCTCACCCTCAAAGTGAATTCCTTGTATTTCACAATTGTGCAATTATTACCCACAAAGTTAAACTCTGGTGTGAGTTCTCTGATGCTGCATAAGGCCTGACCTGTGCCTAAATGTCTTCCTACATTCACTGCATTCATAAGGCTTCTCCCCAGTGTGGATTCTCTGGTGCTGGGTGAGGGCCGAGCTCTGATTGAATGATTTTCCACATTCATTACATTCATAAGGTTTCTCTCCAGTGTGAATTCTTTGATGTTCAATAAGGATAGAGCTTCTACCAAAAGCCTTACCACATTCAATACATTCATAGCCTTTGTCTCCAGTGTGGATTTTCTTATGCTGAATAAGTGCTGAGCTCCGGCTGAAGGCTTTCCCACACTCACCACATTCATAAGGTTTCTCTCCAGTGTGAATTCTCCGATGCCTAACAAGTTCTGAGCTGCCCCTGAAAGCTTTTCCACATTCACAGCATTCATAGGGCTTTTCACCACTATGAATTCTCTGATGTCTAACAAGGTCTGAGCTCAAACTGAAAGCTTTACCACACTCTTCACATGCATAAGGCCTCTCTCCTGTGTGAATTCTCTTATGTCTGATCAGCTTTGAGCCCTGGCAAAAGGCTTTCCCACAGTCAGAGCACTCATAGAGCCTTCCCCCAGCGTGAATTCTCTGCTGTATTATAACATCTGAGTTCAGACTTAGATTTCCTTCTCTTTCATTACATTCAAGAACACTCTCTTTTGTGGAGATTTTCTTGCTGAAAGTTGCCAGACTAAAATGTCTTTCCTGGGAAGGGAGCTGATTCATTGTGTTCCTTGCAGCATTTTCTTTCAGCCTGTCAACATTATCCAGACCTCCCAAAGCTGCTTCAATTATCTGTCCTGAAGGAGTTTCTCCAAGGAGTCTTCTTGGGGATATCATGGCTGCTGATGCTACACATTCAATAATTTCTTGCTTTGCTGTCAATACTTTGTCAGTTACCAACTTGCCATCTAAAAATATGAACAGAAGACGCAAGTGTCATTTGCTCCCTATACTGGAAGAAAGGAATACTTATAGGAACAGAAATTATAGGAACAGAAAATAAACCAAGTAAGACAGGTATTTATCTACCATGAGAAAAATTCTTGTGACTAGCTTCCCACTCTAAAATTTAGAGAAATAGGGATCATGAGAGGTGGCACCCTCAAAGAGTAAGGTAGACAGAGTGAGAGTAAGCATTGGAGAGAAAGGATGGTAAATAGGAAAAGACATTAGCTACAGGATATGGTGATTAATAGGAGTAGCAATGAGAGATCAAAAAGCTAGGAGCCAACCCTGGATTAGAGGGAAAGATGCATTTTTAGGTAATGAGGGGGAGTGAATAAAAGAAGTGGTAAGGAGTGACCTGATAAGAAAGATGTCTAAGAACCTTGATTCAATGGTGCTTTTAGAAAAGTAGGAGAACAAAAGATACATTAGGAAATGCTTTGGGGGTAAGGTGGGGGGCAGTATTGGATAGAGGTAGATGGGCAGGATTGCAGATTCTGTAAAGTTCTAATTTGATCAAATGATTAGAAGCAAATGGAATAAAACAAGCAGAGTATGAAAAAAGGAACATTGTGGGTTCATGACTCATTTTGGGGTCAGATGGGAGTCTTATATGTTCACATTTTTTATGTATAACTAGTTAAAGAAGGTGAATGGAAATAAGTGGCAGGTGGACATGAGGAAGAACTATACTGTATTAGGAATTTGAAAGAGTCACCATAACAAAATACTACAGACTGGGTGGCTTAAACAACAGAAATTTATTTCTTGCAGTTCTAGAAACTGGAAGTCCGAGATCAAGGTGTCAGCAGATATGGTTTCTTCTGAGGTTTCACTTTCCTTGGCTTTCAGGAGGCCACTTTCTCATCATGTCCTCAAAATCTGTGTTGTGTCCTAATTTCCTCTTAAGAACTAGTCAGAGTGGATTAGGGCCCGCCCTAGTAACCCCATTTCAATTTAATTACTACTTTAAGGTCTGATCTATAAATACAGTCACATTCTGAAGTACTGGAGGTTAAGAGTTCCACATATAAATTGTGTGTGAGGATGGCGGGGTGAGATGGAGGGAAGATGACACATTTCAGTCCATAACAAATATCAATGTGTAGAAGCCAGGAAAGACTTAAAAAATTATAGTTGGGTCTTTGTTTCTCAAGAAGCAGAAATAATAGGCCCTAAATTATTTACACATTTACCCTTCTTTAAGAAAAGACACCTGAGGAAATGATTTTTCAAAGTCCATTTTAATGTAGGTCCGTCTCGAAGTAAAAGATACCTGGGGAAGGCTAGGAGCGTCCGAAGAGACCTCACTGTATAGCTGTATGATTTCCTTTGGTGAATTGCCACATTCCAGGGTCTGGCCCTTTGGCTTGTGGTCTCATAAACCTAATTTTGTCATCATACAATAAACAGATTTACCTCTTGGGGTGGGCTCTCATTAGCCATGCTCATGAAACTGAGTGATTAAAAAGAATGAGAATGAATAATGTGACCATAACAGAGACCAGACTGAATTAATGTAGGTTTTTATTATAGCTAAGCTTCATGGAAAGTTAATAAGCTTCTTTGATATGGATGAAATCAGAAGAGTAGTTGGATGTAACAAAAGTTTAATGAGAACAAGTTAATGAGCCTGATGTATCTGCTGCCCATAGGAATAATTTTGCCAATAATATAATCAAAGTCACTTTTGGTTCTAATCTTTGATTTCTGTTCCAATTATCAATTTATTGCCCCTCAGCCTCAAATTCATCTTTTAATGTCTTACTTGTGATACTGGAAGCAATGTTTCTACCTTGCCGACTGGCATGATGTGAGCTTTGTCAATAAATTGGGGGTGAGAGGGTCAATGGAAGAGGAAGAGGCTTTTTCCCCCTGATTTTGGTGTGCTCAGTTTTTTTCCTGAAGTACATGGGGCACCCAACAGTGCACACCCCCAAATACTTTTATAGACATCATCTCATGGGTGGCTTTCCAGCAAATTCTGGTAGCACAGCACATCAGTGAACATCTCCTGCTGGGTCACAGCTGTGTCCTCTCCAACAAAATCTGGACCTCAGCTCTGGCAGAGGATGAGGAAGACATAGTACTTTCTGCAGATAATCTTCCTTCCATGAGTGTTCTGCTTCAGTCCTAGAGACATCCCTATATATGTTATTCCTTGAGAGTTTTGTTATTTTTTAATTACTTAGTAATTAATCCCATTATGGATAATAATTCTTAATATTACACTTTCCCTGTTCAAGTCACTGTGTAGCTTTGGTTACTGATGCAGTATTCACCACCATTTAAGGAACTGTCATGCCACTGGTGCCATAAATTAAAAGAACAGAATATTGGTCTTTGGATATTAATAGAGAATTTTATTAGAGACCTTTTTTTTTTTTTTTTTTTCTGTGGGACCCTCCAGCAGCCGGGGAACAAACCGGCGCGGGCAGCCTCGCAGCCCAGCACTCAACCGCTGCGCCACCAGGGGAGGCCCTAGAGACCTTAATTCTTAACCCAAAGTAAATAATACTGGAATTTCAGATTCTAGGGCGAGCCAATGGAAAATATTTCTAGGCAAGAGGACCATTCCATAAAACTTAATCACAGCCACAAGTGACTGTCATGAAGAAAATGAAACATGTCACAGATGATAGCCCTCAGATCCACCCTCAACCCACAATGGACTGTGGCTCCTCACCTCTCTCATGGAAAGTCTGGGGCTCCAGATCCTCACTCTTGTGCTGGTTCTCCAAGGGCTGGAACTGGCTGCTAAGAGATTTCAATGCACCCTTGGATGTCATTTCCTTCCAGATCATTCCTTGACCATGAGCTGTGTCCTAGGAGTGATCAAGTACCAACATGATGATCCTCAGCTTATAAAGAGGATAAAAACGCAGGGAAGGAGATTCGATAGAAAACAACCAGGCTAAAAGCTGGACTTGATCCCAGTGGATGTAAAGTAACCCAAAAGACGAAAATGGTATGATTCTGATGGCCAGCCGATGCTACTCATGACAGACTCTCCATTAACTCACAAGAGGTAAAACATGCAAGCAAACCCCCTATTTCTTACCTGTTGCCTTGGTTCATCAAGCTCTCTCTCCAGCTCCTCCAGCATAGTCACGGCTTCCTCTCCATTCTCTGGTCGGTGCTCTAGCAGCCAGGCCTGCAGCTCCTCAGGCAGTATGGCCAGGAACTGCTCCAGGACCAACAGCTCTAGGATCTGCTCCTTGGTGTGCACCTCTGGCCTCAGCCACCGACAGCAAAGCTCCCGGAGCCGGCCCAGCGCTTCCCGGGGTCCAGCAGAATCAGAGTAACCAAACTGCCTGAACCGCTGACGGAAAGTCTCCTTGCTCTGGACACTTCCCTGAAGGCTAAAGTCCTGCCCCCAAACATAATTCTCTTCTTCAACCTTCACAATTATAAGACCTTCTTGTTCTTTTGAAGAACAAGGAGCATGGTAGGCCAAGGTTGCAGCCTTTCCTGACATTCTGGACAAAGATAGTCTGAAATTTTTGAGGCAGGGAAGAAATAGACGTCTGTGTTTGAGAGATTCCTTCTGAATGCCAATTCTTCAGGGAGCTCCTGAGGTGAACAATGCTAACATTATACAGAGAAAAAATGTGCTTAGAGTATAGTACAGGTTTTTGGAGGCAAGTTGTCAGGAAATGTAGCACAATAGAGAGAATTCACTAAGAAGAAGTTAGCACATAAATAAACATTTCTAAATGACCGAAGATTTTCAGCACATGAAATAGAAAATTTGAGTAACATCAAAATCAAACCTTTAGTAACAAGGTTAGGGACAACACTAGGGATTAATAAATAGTATGTGTAGATCATGAAAAGCAGGAGAAATACTATAGTATAATATTATGTCTCAGAATAATAATCATCATTTTATTGAGCACTAATCAGCAGCAGAACCGGGCTCTGCAACCACCATATTAACTCTATTATGCTGGGGGTGAGGGAGGGGTCTCCCTAGTATAGGGAATTTGCATTTAATAAACACTTTTTAAGGATCAGGCTCTTTATAAATACTATTTGGGGGGAACTCAATAACATTATGAGGTAAATATTATCCTTCCCATTTCACAGATGAGGAAACTGAAGTTCTTGCAGGTTAAGTAATTTGCCCATGGCCCCAAACTGATAAACAGCAAAGTCAAGACATGAGCCTAGAGTTTCCCAATTCTAAAGCACTTGTTCTTTTTATTACCAAATGGGTTGATGCCCAGGATAAGCTTACTTAATGCTAGAAATGGTGGTGAAAATGTTAGGAAAGCTTCATGGACAATGGCCAGGGTGAAGGTAGAATTATGCTTAACTTTATGTTACAAGGGACTGAGACAACACAATGAAGAATGGATTCCTTCATTATTTAATAAATACTTGAGCATTTACATTGTGCTAGGCAGTAAACAAGGCTCTCAGGATTAAAAGGTCTGTCCTCGGGCCTCCCCGGTGGCGCAGCAGTTGAGCGCTGGGTTGGACAGTTGCCCGCGGTCTCTGCGGCGCCGGTTCGATCCCCGGCTGCTCCCCGGCCACCGGAGGAGGGTCCCACATGGCGCGCAGACCTCTCCTGCCGCCTGCTGCTCCCCTCAGCAGTGTACTTCAGTCCTTCTGCCTGCTCTGCTCCCCGCTCTGGCTCTGGTGAATTCTCTCACCCTCCCGCGCTTCTGACTGTACCCAGTGCATGTATAAACAAAACAAAACAAACAAACAAACAAATAAATAAATAAATAACATGCCTCTATTAAAAAATAAATAAATAAATAAAAAAATAAAAGGTCTGTCCTCAAATACACCTAGCAAAGTGACAGGTAAACACGGTGTGATAAACCCAAGAATGGAGGGAAGCAGGCAAAGAGTCACAGGAAGACAAGACTAAGACCAGGAAGAGAGGGTGGGAAGAGTCAGGGAGAGCTGCCTGCCTGGGGGAAGACATCTCAGCAGCTTGCTGTGAGTGAGCCCATAAAGATGTAGAAGAAGATCATTCAGGCAAAGAAAATGGATATAAGAGGTTGCTGGTCACTGAGGAAACTGTAGGTGGTTTACGGAGGCCAGACTAGTGATTGTCACCTGTGGCTGTGACAGAATCACTCATGGAACATGGACCCCATGACAAACTCATTGAGTCAGAATCTCTAAGGGTGGGGCGTATAGTAAGCACCACAAGTGATTCTGATATGCAGCCAGGGTTAAAAACCCTATGCCAGAGCCTGAAACTGACTTAAGGCATGAAGAGGCACCTAGAGAGGACCAGTCAGCCCAAGGGTCTAAAAGGTTGTAACACAGACTTGACATTTGATTCCCACAGCCACAGGGACAGCTGGAGCGCCAATCTGACCTCCCTAGAGGGGTATGGAGAAGAAATGGAAAGGTGTCTATTACAGCCACTTTGGGTCATGTTGGTCTCAGTTATGGTCTTCTAAAAAGATGAGAGATTTGACAGGATTTAGGGACACAGTGGATGAGGGTTTGGAGGACAGAGAAATCAAGGACTCCAGTTCTGGCTGGCCCTGGTTACTGAAAGGATGCTGGTATCATTTACTGTTCTATTTTAAGAAAGACAAGTTTGACATGCAAATAAAGCAGCATTTCCTAAACTGTGCTCTGCCAGAAATACCAACAGATGGTTCCTACACATCCAAGCGCAGAGAAACTTGGATATATAATTTTCCTTAATTGTCTGATATAAGGAAAATACCAAAACATTTTTTTAGTTCTTATTATGGCACAATTGACACGTAAGAAGTCCAGTGATGAGGCGCCATCAGTCCTTCCCCCTGGAGGAGGAGAGAACCTGTTCCAAGCATCCCAAGAAAGTCCAGGGCACTTTTGGACAATCCTACTTGCTACAGCAGGCTGTTACTGTAATGCAAATGCATTGTTTGCTTACTTAATTGTAACAGAAAAATACTCGTTGAGATTTTAGAGATTAGGGAGAGTCAAGCTGCTTTAAGTGTTCTCATTCATTTCCTCTTCAGAGCACACTATGGTCTAGGGTCTCCTGTTTTGCTGAGAAGAACAGAGTAGTCACGTCATTTGTCCCGGGTTACACGGCTGGGAGGTAATGCCATCAGGGATGTTTTGACACTAAATGGTCTGACTCCAGAGTCCACACTCTGCTGAAATGCTTTCTCACATCTGTCCTCTCCACGCGGCCAAGCGCCCTTTCCAAGAGGGCCTGTGATTTTTTTCACATATTTTTTAACACTTCCTCGAGTGCCTACTTTGGGCAGGCGCTGTGCCAGGCGCTGGGCAAAAAAGTCGTGAACCAGACAGCGTCCTTGCCATGAAAGAGCTTAACAGTGGGCTGAGGCAGAAGTTAGAAAGCCGCAAAATGCCGAATTTAATGGTGATGAAACCACAAGGGGGAAGGCAGGCGGCGCGCTGGGAGAATGTGATACAGAATATAACCCAACCCGGGGAGTCCGGACGGGCGCCGAGACCTGACTCCCGAGGGCGCGCGGCCGCGCGAGCTGTGGGGGGGAAGCGCTCACCAGGGTCCCCGACTCCTCGGCCTGCGGCCTGGCACGCGGGGGCGGGGCGGGGGCGCCCGGCGAGTGCGGGGGAGCCCCGGAATGCCCGGGCGGTGGAGGACAGGGCGAGGGGGCGGCACAGGACGGGGTGAACAGGCCGACAGAGCCGGGGGGCTGGGGGGCCGGGGGGGCCCACCCGGGACCGCCGCGGGCTCTGCTCCGCCGTGGCTCGCAGAGGCGGCCGAGGCCGGGCGGCGGGGAGGGCGGAGGCCGGACTGAGGCGGTGTGGGAAGCCCCGAGGCCGCGCTGCCGGACGCCTCACTCACCCTTCGCTCCGCCAGCAGCGAAACCGACCTGAGGGAGGCGAGCCCGAGGGGCCGGGCCGAGGGCCGAGGCGGGGGCCGGCGCGCCCCTCTAGGAAGCCCGGAGGCCTGCAGCTCTGTGGCGGCGCGGGGGCTGGAGCGGGTGCGGGGCCGCAGGAGCGTGTCTGTGGGTGGGACCCGCCGAACAGCCCCGAGTGGAAACGGTGGAGCGGAGACTGAAAGAGGCGGGGAAAGGGGATGACAGATAGATGGATAGATGGATGGATGATAGGGATAGCTGGGGAGGTGGGGGGGAGTAACAGTGGGAGAGAAGGGTTGTTTGAGGAAAGGAGGGGCGAGTAGCTTGGTATAGCAGCTGGGAAATAAAAATAGAATCTACTGGGCCTCCCCGGTGGCGCAGCGGGTGGAGCGCAGCTCTGTGAGGCGGTCCGCAGCGTCTGCAGCGTGGGTTCGAGTTCCAGCCGGCCAGGGAGCTACCCACATGGCGCGGCAGACCTCTCCTGTCACGCTCCCTGTTCCCCTCAGCCTTGTGCTGGGTTCTGCTCCCCGCTCTGTCTCTGGTGAATCCTCTCACCCTTCCACGCCTCTGACTGTACCCCAGTTCTTGTATAAATAAATAGATCTTTAAAAAAAAAAACCCTTAAAATAGAATCTACTGTCTCAGAATTTAGGAAGGAGAGAAGCAGGCCACATTCTCACGCCACAAACACACTGAATGCACAGGGCAAGGAGCTGTCATGGAGTGGCAAAGGTGCAAGACAGAGGATCCACTGGCCACAGAGTACTGGGGCATTGGGGAACAGGGCAGAGTAGGTGAAAGTCAGAATAATTTTCTTCTACAATGTGCTCTCAAAAGTTGTTTAAACTGTTGTGGCTTGGTTTTTGGTTACTTTTCAAACTGATGACAGTTGACTTCATTGATTGAAGATAAAGAAAATGAATGTTCCGATCACAATTCAACTCCCCAAGAAGATCTTGGGGAATTCTCTGGTGTTTCTTGATATAAACTTACCCCTCTCTGTCGATGTAAACCATGGGAAGAACTCTGATTATTAGCCATTATTTCCCTTTCTGAAGAGTTGCCAATGCTGGTTCCGTTTTTTAAACCTCAAAATAAGCATGAAGTCTGACCCAAAAAAGGTGCAATCTGTATGATTCTAATTAAATAAATCTCTAGAAAATGCAAACTAATCTATAGAAAAAGAAATAATAGGGCCTCCCCTGGTGGCACAGTGGTTGAGCGCTGGGCTGCGAGCCTCTGCAGCGCCGGTTCGATCCCCGGCCACCGGTGAGGGCCCCAGATGGCGCGACAGACCTCTCCTGCCACCCGCTGCTCCCCTCAGCAGTGTACTTCGGTCCTTCTGCCTGCTCTGCTCCCCGCTCTGGCTCTGGTGAATTCTCTCACGCCCCCTGCGCTTCTGACTGTACCCAGTGATCGAATAAATAAATAAATAAATAAATAAATCTTTCAAAAAAAAGAAAAAGAAATAATAGCGGTTGGGGGTTATGTGAGGAGATACATAGATAACTAAGGGGAAAGATAAAACTTTTAGGGTTGCTGGATGTGCTATTTTGATTGTGGTTATGGTTTTACAGCTGTAAACATGACGAAATTTATCAAAGTGTATACTTTAAATATTTGCTGATATTGTATATCAAAGGTGGGTTTTTTTAAGATTTATTTATTCATGCATACAAGAACTAGGGTACAGGCCAGATGTGCGGGAGGGTGAGAGGATTCACCAGAGACAGAGTGGGGAACAGAACCGGCAGACTGAAGAAACACACTGCTGAGGGGAGCAGCGGGCGCGACAGGAGAGGTCTGTCGCTCCCTGTGGGACCCTCGCCACTGGCTGGGATGCAACCGGTGCTGCAGAGGCTGCGGGCAGCTTGGCAGCCCAGCGCTGAACCGCTGGGCCACCAGGGGAGGCCCAGCAATATCCTTTCTTACCCTGATGCCCCAGTCCCCTCCATTTCAGGTCCTTCTCATCCTCATCTTTTAGGCACCAGGAGGATTGTCCTGGCAAGCAAAATTTTCGAGAGACTCCAAGCATGCCTTCCTTGACCTCAAAGTAGATAAAATCTATTTTCTCGGGGATTCGGGCATTAATTGCTGAGTATTGCTCATTTGGGGCAGTAGTTCTCAAAGTAGCAGCATCAGGATCACCTGAGACTGGTTTCCCACCCCAGAACTACTGAGTAGGAAACTCTTAAGAGTAGAGTCGGGCTAACAGTATTTTATTTTTTTAAATAGTATTTTAACAAAGCCTCCAGGTAATTCGGAGTCACGCCACTGTAGAGTGCAGAGGGAGGAGAACATCTGAGAAATCTGAAAAAAGTTAGAAGGGAAGCACATTAGTTAGAAGGGGTGTGAAAGAAAAAAAAAAAAAAGATAAATAAAGAAGAATTGACAGTAGGAGAATCCACCCTGCCCCAGCAAGCTTTCCCAAACAATAATGCATCCCGACATTCTCATGAAGAACCGGCAGACTGGGCAGCAAGGGAACTGTCGCAGGGCAAACAGGTCCCTCACTACCGCTCGGCTGGAGACTGCTCGGCGGAGACTTAGGGGTTAAATCCCGGCATCTCTTTTCCGCCTCCCGTTGCGGACCCCGCAGCCCCAGCCCGCGCGTGCGCAAGCGCCAGACCAGGCGCCATAGAGCTGAGAAAACCTCCCAGATGCCTAGAGTGGCCCGAGAGACGGCCGGCTCACCGCGCGCGACGCTTGACAGCCACCTGGAGCGCACGCTGAGGTTCGGGTGCTGGCGGCTCACGCCAGACGGAAGAGCTCGGGGGACGTCGCTCGGCGAGCGGCTCTTCAGCGCCGCCAGTCCCGGGTGTGGTCTCTTGA